CTGGGGCAGCGACGGGCCCACCTCCCCCGCGGGCAGCCACGCCGAGGGCGCGTCGCATCTGCGGCCCAGCGCCTTGCGCCCCCCGCCCGAACGGGCGGGGCACGCTGTGGGCGGCCTCTGCCGACGGATCACTCCCGGGGCCAAGTCCCTCGCCCCCACTGCCGCGCGCGCCTCTGACCACAGCTTGGCTGGGTCGTGGAAGGCGGTAGTCGGCGTAGGTGCTGCACCCATGGGCTCCTCAACCTCATCGTGGATCTCGTCGAAGGCTTCCTGGGGGCCTTCCTGCAGCCTCGCTCCTCTCTCTTCTCTGGCCCTATGCAAAATCTTCTCTCGCTCACAGTCGGGGCCCGCCGTCTCCTTGGGTCTGGGGGCTGTCGCGGGCACCCGCGCGAGGTCAAGCTTGCGGTGCCACCGACGCTGCTTGCCGCCCGCTGTCGCGAGCTTCAGGCCTACGCGGTCACTCCAGGGCACCCCCGCGACCGCCTACAACCTCACGCTGGCCGCCGTACCCCCAGTGACAATGGCATAGTCGACGACGTTGCCTGCCCCTCTATTGCACGTGGTTGCGCAGCTCCGCCGCGAGCGCCTCCGCGTTGAGCTCGGCGAGCCACTGGGTCTTGCCCCACTCCGCGGGCGCGACGCCCCAGTCGCCCAGGATGACCCGCGGGCCCCTAAGCTGGCGGAGGAAGGCTGCGAGTGCGACGCGGGCCTGCTGCCTGTCGCATCCGATGCAGAACAATGGCTGGGGATAGGCGCCGGCGACGATGAGGTCGCCCGACCGGAGGTGCCAGCACGCGGGGCATACTCCAGCGACTGGGCCTTGCCCCGATGCACCTCTGGCATCTTCTCTCCCAGCCTCGAAAGATGTGGTCTGGATCTGCTTCTTGGCCAGGGTCCACTCCCCCCCCGTCGCTCCTGCCGCCGATCTGCCAGCGGGGCGCGCAGCTGTCGCCACAAGCTTCCAGCCCTCGCGCGACAGGGCCGCGCGCGCCTTGCCGACGGCCTCCTCGTCGGCGCGGGGCCCCACAATTCCGACGACGTCATGCTCGTCTGCCTCCTGTCTCGGGGCGTCCGCAGCCTGGGCCCGTGCGCCAGCGGGGGGGGGGTCTGTCCCGTTAGGAAGACTCCCGCGGAGCGCCAGCTTGGCCTGCCGCTGGGAAGGAGCCACTGCTGCCACCATACTGAACCGCAAGCACAGTAGGAGCAGCAAGAGCAGCCGCTGCCCTGGAGCCGGGGCCCGAGGCTGCCAGCGCCGACTGCGAGGGCCACGGGGGAAGGCGGCTGCGGGCAGCGTCGATGAACTCCTGGAGGGTGGCCACGAGCATGTCGGGATCGGGGTCGAGCAGGACTGGGGCCTCCTGGTCCTCCGGGGCAGGGGCCTGCATGACCGTGTCCTCGGCGCTCTGGAGCGGGCCCGCTGGGGGTGGAGAGTCCACCCTCGCCCTCGCGGGCGGCTTGTCCTTGATCTTCTCGCTCTTAGCCCACAGCTCCCTGACCTTGGCGTCCTCCGCGACCATGGCCTGGTAGTGGGTGGGCGTTGAGGGTGGCGCGGTGGGCTTCGAGCTCCTTCCTCTCCTCGTCGTCGAGCTTGTCGGGGACCTGGCTGAGGAGGGACATCTCGAGGGCGAAGATGATCTGATTGCCATCACTGGTGGTGGCGTCGTCCACCTGCCCGCGGTCCGCGACCGTGGTGGAGAGCGTCTGGGCCGCCAGGGCGTGATCCTACGTCGCCTCGAGCATCTCTTGGCCAGCGTGGAAATGGGTCTCCTTGGCCTGCTTCGCGAACTCCTCCGCGTTGACGAGGGTGTCCGCCGCCTTCTGGAACGACGCTGTCTTGAGCTCGAGGATACGGGCCGTGGATTGGACCTGCTGCGCGGGGGTCTTCGTCTTGGTCTCGGAAACTGTCTTGGCAGCGAGGTTCTTCTTGGCCAGCTCGATGGCGTCGTTCGGGAGGATGGAGGTGAGCTTCTCGAGCGCCTTCTTGAGATTATCTGCGTCCTGCTGCTTGGTGTAGCTGTCGTTGCTGCCCGTGCCGTTGCCGCTGCACCATCGGCGGGCCTTGGCCTCGCGCCACGGGGGCTTCGCAGGCTGCTGTTCGCCGCCGCCCGCGGTGCCCACACAGCCCTTCTGGTACGGCTGCAGCTTCGCACACCACTTGATGCACGTGCAGTTGTTCCGCTCGAACCTAAAGATGAACGCCCACTGCCCACATGCACACACCGTGAACGGCTGCTTCGCATTGCCATTCGCATACCCCGTGGTGACTCGCGGAAGCGGGAGTCCGACAAGCGCTGGCTGTTGGTGGACGGGAACTCTTGGCCCCAGCAGCGCGCAGCTCGACTGGGGTTGCCTGAAGCGAAGGCTGGCCTCGGACTAGAAGTATCCACGCCCTGTCCGATGTACAAATGCATCTAGAGCCAAAATGGTTACAGAAAAAAGGTGGAGCAAGATGAGGAGGAGGAGGAGGAGGAGGTGGAGGAAGCGGAGGGGAAGGAGGAGGAGGAGGAACGGGAGGAGGAGGAGGAGGAGGAGGAGGAGGGGAAGGGAGGAGGGAGGAGGGGAGGGAGGAGGGAGGAGGGAGGGAGGAGGGAGGGAGGGAGGAGGAGGAGGAGGAGGAGGAAGAGGAGGAGGAGGAGGAAGGAGGAAGAGGAAGAGGAGGAGGAGGAGGAGGAGGAGGAGGAGGAGGAGGAGGAGGAGGAGGAACGGGAGGAGGGGGGGCCGCAGCACCCGCCCTGGAATCTGGAGTACCTTTGAAAATTCCAGGGTCCAAAGTTTACCCGGCCTGCGCCCGCGATCCAAAACGGAAAATCCATGGTTGTCACCGTCTGGCCTTTTCGCTTCCAACGGGCCTCTGAGGCCTCAGGACTGCCCCAAGATGGCCCAAGAGAGCCCCGGGAGGGGCCCAAGAGGGTCCCAAGACGGCCCCACGAGCGCCTAAGAGCATACCAGGAGGGACCGAGGAGCCAATTGTTCTGCCGCCGAGGGGGGGGGGCGCGAGAGAGAGCGCCACGAGTCCCCAAAGAGCCACAAGAGGGCATCCAAGAGTCCCCTAAGAAGGACCAAAAGGCTTCCAGAATGGCGCCAAGATGGCTTCAAGAGGCTTCCAAGAGGCCTCCCACATGCCTCCAAGAGGCTTACGGAGCGAAAGATCCGCGAAGATCTCGTCGTTGTCGTAGTCGGCAGTCGGCGTCATTTCTGGGCAGATTCGGCTTTCCACCGATCCTTCTGGGCGACTGTTTCTACTGTATGCCACTACCCTTCTCTGACCTAAGCAATTCGACTGCTGATCGTTGCTGGATGGGCTGGTGGGGACACGCGAAGCGCAAACTATTAACCAGAGAGGGGGAGGAAGGGGAGGAAGAAGGGAGAGGGTTCCGCCTTCCCACGGACCTCCCCCCTCGCCCGCCCTGCAAAGCGCATGTCTGAGATCTACTAACCCGGGTCAATCCAGACCCGGGTCAGTCAGGCTTTCCAAGATCCTGCAAGATTCTGCAGGATCCTGCCAGATCCTGCACCCAAGCCTGGGTCAATACAACCCTGGCTCTGCAGGATCCTGCAAGATCTGGCGCTCTGACTGACCCCCGTTCGCATGTACCCCGTCTCTTGAGCCTACCCGGTTTCCCCCAGGGCTGTAGGCGACCCGAGGAAGAAGAGGAGGAAGAGGCGGAGGAAGGGGAGGGGGAGGAGGATGAGGAGTAGAAGGAGGAGGAGGAGGAGGAGGAGGAGGAGGAGGAGGAGGAGGAGGAGGAGAGGAGGGAGGGAGGGAGGGAGGGAGGAGGGAGGGAGGGAGGGAGGAGGGAGGGAGGGAGGAGGAGGAGGAGGAGAGGAGGAGGAGGAGGAGGAGGAGGAGGAGGAGGAGGGGTCGCCTAAGCCCTTCGGAGAAACCCTCCACTTGAGCCCAGAGTTTGCCGCTCACCCTTCGAGCCTTCCCGTTCACAACGTCGGAGCCGTCCGAGGGAGCCTCGATCCAGCGGGCTCGGGGGGGGGGCAGGTGCGCCCACCCCCTCCCTGTACTGTGGCGAGCGTCGGCTCGACACTCTCCTGCGCCGTCGCGACCGTGCCCCTTGGGCGCAAATTACTGGGGGGAGCGATACTGGAGGGGGGGGGAAGCGGAAAGGTGCCCTTTTCGAGCCCGAGAGGTCCGCTCTTGGGCCCTAAGGGGCCCCTCTGGGAGCCCCAAAGAGCCCCCTTGTCTGCAGCCCTCGCTGGCCCCCCCGTTTTCTGGCCCCCCACTTACGCGGCCTCCAGGCCTCCGGCCCTGACTCCCCTCCGGCCAGCCTGTCGCTGACTCCTCTCCGTCGTTGGACCTATCCCTGTCCCCTCTGCGAAGGCCTTGGCCTCACTGTCCGATCTGCCCGCCCACGTGGTGATGGGTACCCTCCGCGTGCCGCGTCGGGTTTCCCGGCATCCAGCCCCGCCTCGAGGGGGCAGGCTGACGGAGCCGAGGAACCCGCGCCAACTGAGCGACGGAGAGAAAGGGGTCTCACGCGAGATGGCACAGCGGCCTTGCGCGGTGGCTTACGCGGGCCGCCAGCGCGGTGTGCTACACTGGAGACGAGGGCGCTTACGCGCGACCTTATGCGGGCAGCTTACGCGCGAATGGCGGCACGAACGACCCCGTTTTTCTGCGTCGGTCAACTGGGGATAAATGGGGAAACCAACAAAGTACCGATGCCGCTACTCCTCGGATTTCCCAGGGTGCGTTCTGACCAGGGTTTGGAGGCGCATCCAGCGGTGGCGACGAGAGCCTCCCAGGAGGCTCCAACAAGGGGAAAACAAGGGAAGCGTCGCGGTACGGGTACCTGCTCCTCCTCCGAACCATGGCCTGGCGGAGGAGGAGGGGAGTAGGAGGAGGAGGAGGAGGAGGAGGAGGAGGAGGAGGAGGAGGAGGCAGGGGGAGGAGGAGGGAGGAGGAGGAGGAGGAGGAGGAGGAGGCGGATGAGGACACACTAAGGAAGGGTAGAGGTATGGGTACCTTCTTCCTCCTCTGAGACAAGGACAGGTGCGACGGTGCTGAAACTTCGCTGGCCCGCGCGCGCGCCGTCGTCTTGGAGACAGTCGAGGCTGCGCAGCTTCCCTGCGGGGCAGCGGCCGCGGAGGGGCAGGGGAGACAGAAAGAGGAATTGGAGGAGGAGGGGGAGGAGGGGGAGGAGGAGAAGGAGGAGGAGGAGGAAGGAGGACGAGGGACGAGGAGAAGGAGGAGGAGGAGGAGGAGGAGGGGGCGGAAGAAGACAAAGGAAAAGCAGGCGGGACAGATGTTTGTAAAATTCATACTTTCCCCCCTCCCCCAGTCCTGTATTGGAGGCTCGGTTCTAATCCGCCGACCCCCTTGTGGGGCCACCAGGCTGTGAAGGTCGGGTTCCGTCAACAGATGCCAGTCCTGAGTTCCTCAGTCCCGGCCACAGTTTCAATACGGCTTCTAGTTTCCAGTCTCCAATGCTACAAATCTACTTCCTGTTTCCTTCTGGTGTTGGTGTTTGTTCCTGATCCGCGCGAGGGGGGAAGCCGAAAACCGGCCTAGTTACCAGGGCCTCTCGGGGTTTTCAGAATTCCTCTGGGGCCATGGGACAAGCAAAATTAGATGGTAGTCGCGGCACCGGGACCATAGATCTTATGAATTGCACCAGCTTCGAGATCCCGAGGTCAGAATCTCTCCTAAGTTATTCCAGATTCGCACCCCCGCGGCCAGATTCCTTTGTCACTTAATTCTGCGTCGCGCTCCCGACGCAAAAAAAGCCATACAGATTACGCCAAATGGACGCCCCCGCGGCCAGATGTCCTTGCAAATCGCCCTTGCTTCGCGCTCCCGAGGCCAAAATAACTGATCACCTGATTCAGTTTCACCAGATTCGCGCTCCCGAGGCCAGAATCCACCGTAAGTCACGCCAGATGCACGCTCCCGAGGCCGGAATCCCTGGTACATCACGCCAGGCCCGCGCTCCCGCAGCCAGAATCCCTCGCACATGGTGCCAGGCTCGCGCTCGCGAGGCCAGTGCTTCGTAAATGACGCTTGGCTCGCGTCTCAGAGGCCAGCCCCGTTTGCAAATTGCGCCATCTTCACGCGCCCGAGGCCACATCTGTTCTGCAAGTTGCGCCAGACTCACGCTCCCGAGAACACGGCCCCCCCGTCAAGTACACCAGGTTCGCGCTCACGAGGCCACGATCCCCCGTCCATGAATGGAGCTTCGCGATCCGAGAAGAGAACAGAGCGTGCAACAACAACAGAATGCCAATCGCCACCGCATGATGCTCCCGGAAGGTTTCGGCGACTCCGAAGGGTGTGGCTTGCCAAGGGTGTGGCTTGCAACCGGCACCCTGCGGGGCACCCATGGGGGGCAGGCGGAGACTCCGAGAAAGTCTTCCGTCGATCGGGTTCTCCGCCGCGCCCCGAGGAGGCCCGACGAGGACAGCGTCGTCCCCCTCGGGCCCCAGCAGTGCCGATCGCAAGCCGCACCCTGGCGCAATCACCCCCCCAACATTGTAGCCGCTGGCAGTACAAGACAGCACCGCGTCACAGCACGGCTTCGACAGCTCCCATTAAGGTTTTGTGTTTTTGCAAAAGAAGGCGAGAGAAAGAGAGAGAGAGAGAGACCTGGCGGTAGGGGGCGAGGCCCTTACGGATACGCAGTGCCGTTTCTCGATGCAGCACGGCTGTTCCTCCCAGTCTTCCTCCTCGCCCTCCTCCTTGTGTCATGCTGAAATTGTTGAAGTGGCGCCGACTCAGGCGGAGTGAGCAAACAAACTATGCCGCGGACAGGTGCAGTTTTATTCAGACATTGAGAGGAGGGAGGAAAAAAATGCCTCACAGGGTAGGAGTAACCCAGTCCGCGGCAGTACAAAGTGAGGCGGAGGAAACCACCATAGAGATTATGAATCACCGACCTCCTCCTCCTCCTCCTCCTCCTCCTCCTCCTCCTCCTCCTCCTTTTGCCTCTCGCCTCTTCCCCCTCCCCCTGTTGCCTCCTCGTCTCCGCGCTCGCTCGTCCCAGCTTCCCCCCTCGCCCTCCCCCGGCGCCGCCAACTGCGCAATGTGCCGCCGGCTCCGTGAGGTCCGCCGGGGCGCGGCGCTAACCTGAACTCGGGCCTGTTCCTCCACAGGAGGAATATTCCAAAATGTGAAAATGAGGTGGGGACGTTTTTGTATGTTCAACCCTTTTGGAATATTCTGTTTGACTACTCTTGATTATTCGTCCCAAATCCCCCTGTATGGGGGACAGGCCTGACCTAACGCTAACCTTGCCGCCCCCCCCAACCGCGCAAGTGCCGCCAGTTCCGTGGGCTCTCTGGGGGATCCAGCGGAGCGCGGCGTCGCCCTCCTGCTGAGGACGGCAGAGCCCACCCCCACCCCGAGCCAGGGCCCCCACGCCCCACCGGGTGGCCCTGGCTGGGGGTGGGGGGGGTTCGCGGGGGGGGGGGAGGGGGGGGGGGGGGAGTGGGACCCTGGCTTTGGGCGTGTCTTAACGGGGGGGTCACAAATGGGGGGGTCAGAAACGGTCCCCTTTCGTGCCCCTTTCGGGCCCCTCCGGAGCCTCAAGGGGCTCGTTTTCGTTCCGTTTGGGTACCTTTTCGGACCACCCTCGCCGCCCCCCCATTTATGACCCCCCCCCATTACGCAGCGCCCAATGGCTGGGGGTGGGACGGGTTCCGGGGGTGGGGCCCTGGCTGGGGGTGGGCCCTGGCTGGGGGCTGGAAGGGCTCACCAGGGGGACCCTGGCTAGGGGTGGGAGGGGTTTCGGGGGGGCGGGGCCCTGGGGGCCAAAAGCCCATCCACACCCCCTGCCAAGACCTCCATCGCCAGGTCGGGGGTGCGGGTCCCTGGCGGGGGGTGGGGGTGGGTTGTGCTGTCCTCATCTCCCACCCACACCACCAGACGACCAACCTGGGAAGCGCGGCATGTGTCCAACAGTTTTGGGTCGGCGGGGCGATAGCGAACCTCTTCCGCTAAAAGCTAGGCGGGCTACGCACAGCTTTAATTGGGGAGACAGGGCACAGGAAGGCGGGGCCTCAAGCGGCCGGAGCGGGCGGAGCCCGGGGTGCAGGCGGTGCAGGAGAGCTTGCACAGAAAAAGATACGCCGCGGACAGGGACTGGGGGCGAAGACCCGGAGGGCGAGCGATGTGGTGTTGCCGTCAACGGCACGTTGCGAACACCAGACAGCCACCTCGGCGTCCAACAGGCGTGTGCTGAAAAGCGGGGGCGGGGCCACTCAACGCCACCTCTGCTTGGGCATGCGGCCAGGATAAAGCACCAAAAAGCGCCCCCCACACATGTTCGAGAGAGCGCGCCCGTGGTCGGGGCCTCCCCGTTAGCTCCCCCCCTTGCCCCCTGGACCTCCCCTGCGGGAAGCCCCTTCCCCCACCTCCTTGTTTCCCGCCCCAGGAGAGCTACCCCCCCACCTGCCTTTCGTACTCCGGAAGCTGACACCCCCCCTTAGATGGACCACCTCCTTGGCTCTCTCCTGTCGGAAGCCCCGCTCCCCCTCCTTTTTGTTCCGCCCCTCGGGAACTACCGCCCCCCTTTCGCGCATTCGCGCTCGGGAAGCTACCCCCACAACCCTTTCCCATTAGGTACCCCCTCCTTTGAACCTCCCCTGCCGGAAGCCCCCCCCTCCCCCGCTTTTGGCTAAAGGGGAGGGGGTCGGAAGCCCCCCCCTTCGGCTAAAGGAAGGAGCGCAAAAGACCAAAAAGGGCGGCGAAAACCAGCAGAGCGCCGAAGACCAAAGGGCCACCGAAAGCCCCCCCGTTCCTTTCCAACTGGGGGGGGGGGCTTAGCTACTCCCCCCCCCTTGGGTCGGGCCTTCCGTGTCGGACCCCTCCTTCCTTTTTGTCAGCCCCTCGAAAGCCCCCCCCCCCTCCCTCCCGCCCCTTGCGCGCTCTGGAAGCTACCCCCCCCCTCCCCCTTTCAAAAGGCCCCAAAGGGGGAGGGAGCTGAGCTATCCCCCTCCCCCCATTGAACCTCCCCTGCCGGAACACCCCCCTCCCCTTCCCCCGTTTTTGGGGCTAGGGGGGGAGGCTTGGAAGCCCACCCCTCTGGCTAAAGGAAAGAGCGCCGAAGACCAAAAGGAAACCGAAAACCACCAAAGAAGCGCCGAATACCCAGAGGGCGCCACAAACCGAAAGGATGCAAAAACCAGAGGCGCGCCGAAAACCAAAGAAGCGCCGAAAACCAAAAGAACGCCGAAAACCAAAAATAGCGCCGAAAAACAAAAGAGGCGCCGAAAATCAAAATTCGCCGGACCAACGGGCCAGAGGCGTGCTAAGATCTCCGGCAACTACTTAACAATATTTGTAGTTCGCGCGCGCCGGGCGGCCCCTGGGGGCCCCCAGACGAAGAGTACCCTGGTCGATCCCCGGCCGGTCCCGGCTGGGTCCCGGGCGATCCCCAAGGGGGAGGCTATTTTTCGCCACCCCTCACAAGGATCGTGGCCTCCGAGAGGGCGGCTGCAATCGACCTAAGAGGCCCCAGGGGGGCCCAAGACGCCGCCAAGGAGCCCCAAGACGCTCCCGAGAAGCCCCCAAGAGGCCCCCAAGACGGCCCCAAGAGGCCCAAAATAGCGCTCCAGGGCCGGCGGAATGAGCGAAGCGATTAAATAACGCCCAAAACCAAAGAGGCCCCGAAAACCAAAAATGGCTCCGAAAACCAGTAGGGCACCGACAACCAAAGGGTCTCCACAAAGCAAAAGGGCACCGAAACCAAACAAAGCCTAAAACCAAATGAGCGCCGAAAACCAAAACGACACCGAAAACCAAAAGAGCGCCGAAAACCCAAGGAGGCGCCGAAAATCAAAGGAGCGCCGATAACCAAAGGAGCGCCGAAAACCAAGGAGGCGCCGAAAACCACAAGGGCGCCGAGAACCAAAGGAGCGCCGAAAACCGAAAGGGCGCCGAAAACCAAAGGGGCGCCTAAAACCAAGAGGGCGCGGAAAACCACAAGGAGGACAAAAACCAAAAAAGCGCCGAACACAAAAAGGGGCGCCGAAAACCAAGGGGGCGCCGAAAATGAAAAGGCGCCGAAAATCAAAAGGACACGGGAAGCCGCCGAAAACCGAAGGGACCAAACACCCAAGGGGCGCCGAACA